GTGTTCCTCGACTCAGGATATTTGATCTAACAACTTCGAATTCAGGTCTGAGATGCATTAGGAAGTTTATAATCTTTCTTCTATCGAAATGTTCCTTCATATAATAAACACAACATTCTGAATAATCATTCCCCATGTGAACAAGCTCATATTCGGTCCAAAGGTTAATAAACCCAGCATAGTACTCTTGGACCTTTCTTTCCCTTGATAATAGGAGAAGAAGTCAACCTCTATCCAGTACTGTCTTGAGGTGTTTGATTGCTGATATACTCTTCGAGATACTCATACATCTCACAAGCAGTCTTGTATCCTCTCATAGGAATTGCAATATCAATTTCAATGGATCCTAAGATCCAAGATGCAATTTTTTGCATTATCAATTATCCACTGATTAAGACTCTTGATGTCCGAATCATCAGGTTTAACTACTGATCCATCCAAATATCCTCAGAGACCTTTCGCCTCCACATGAAATTGGAAATTGAATTTCCAAAGTGCATAGTTCGTACCATTAAACTTGATGGGGAGAAATTCCATTCTTTCTGATGCCATTGAATCACAAGAGCAAGAAAAACCACAGAGAGAAGTGTTCAAAACAATAGAATAATAAAGTACCTTTCAGTCAATGTCCAGAAAAGGAAATTGTAAGGGTCTGTCGAACTCTAAAGTGGCTCAAAACCCTTCTAGATCAAATCCGATTCAAACCAAACCAATTGGAAATAGTAAATCTGCCCTGGGTGACACTAGATCTAAAGTTTCAGCCTGATCCGATGCTTCTAGAGGGAGATCCAATCCAAAAGAGAAATCTGGTGGCACAGTAGTCCAGGAACAGAGTTTGTCGAGTTCTAATTAAAAGCAGCTTCAGAAATCGGATTTAAGAACACTCAAGAGCCTCCCAAATATTGTTAGGGAGGAAGTAGTCACTCGCAAATCAGATCGTGACCTGCTCTGAAACCATGTCAGAGTCAGATCAAAAACTGAGAAAGAGAAAGAGAGAGAGACAACACAGTGGAATGGTGGGTGTGACAACTTGTCTCAGTCAACACCCTAAAACAAATATTTATATTAAGTTGTAAAAGGACAGATCTGCCCTTAATATACATGAGAGATATTATACAAAGAGAGATATACAGAAAAGAAAAGTAAAAGTACAAAAATAGCCCTACAGCTAGATTTCACTGTCTCTACATTGCTCACACCTATAGTTGGCGTATGTGTGTTGACAGTCATGCCATTAACAAGATTACAGTTAAATGCAGGCTTCCCATACCCCACCTTAATGACATGTTAGACACATTGGCCAGCTCACAAGTCCTTTTAAAGATAGATCTGAAGAGTGGATACCATCAAATTCGTATCCGAGAGGGGGATGAGTGGAAGACTGCATTCAAGACTAAGGAAGGTCTTTATGAATGGCTAGTTATGCCATTTGGGTTGTCTAATGCTCCTAGCACCTTTATGAGATTCATGAGCCAAGTTTTAAGGCCGTTCATGGGGAAGTTTGTGGTAGTTTATTTTGATGACATATTCATCCACAACAAAGATCATGACAGCCACTTAGGAAACTTGAGAGCGATCCTAGAAGTCTTGAGACAAAATCAGCTATATATAAATTTGAAGAAGTGTAATTTTATGACAGATCGGTTGGTGTTTTTGGGGTATGTTGTTTCAGCCAAGGGTATTGAGGTGGATCAAGAAAAAGTTCAAGCTATTCAAGAGTGGCCAACACCAAAGACCTTAACTGAATTTCGTAGTTTCCATGGGCTAGCAATATTTTATCGTCAGTTTATAAAGAATTTCAGCACTATTGTGGCACCCATTACTGAATGCTTGAAAGGAGGTGAGTTTACTTGGACTCCTGCAGCTGAGAAAAGCTTCCAAAAGTTAAAGATGAAGATGATGAAGGCTCCGGTATTGGCTTTACCTGATTTTAACAAGCTCTTTAAAGTTGAATGTGATGCATCCCATGTTGGGATTGAAGTTGTCCTTAGCCAAGAAGGTCGCCCAGTTGCTTACTTTAGTGAGAAACTCAATGATGCTAGAAGGAGGTATTCCACTTATGATGTTGAGTTTTATGCCATTGTGCAAGCGCTGAAGTTTTGGAGGCATTATCTTATCCAATGGGAGTTTATGTTGTATTCAGACCATGAAGCATTGAAGCACCTTAACTCCCAACAGAAAATAAAAGGAAGACATGCTAAATGGGTTGACTTTCTACAAGAATATAATTTTGTTTTGAAGCATAAGGCTGGACAGAAAAACCGGGTAGTTGATGCTCTTAGTAGGAGAGTTCACTTGATGTCAACAATGTCTACTAATGTTGTGGGATTCAGCTCCATCAAAGACCAATACCAAGATGACCCTTATTTTGGCCCTATTGTAGAAGCTATACAACAGGTGACAAGGATATTCGAGCCAAGTTTGTGTGGAATAATGGTTACTTATTAATGGGCAATAGGTTATGTATTCCATCAGGATCCTTGAGGGCATTACTCATATCTAATTTGCATTGCAAGGGACATTTTGGTCACAAAAAGACACTTGAAATGGTCTCCAAAAGGTACTTTTGGCCAAAACTACAAAAGGATGTGTTCTATTATGTTGATAGATGTCACAAGTGCCAAACATCTAAGGGGTAGCATCAAAATACAGGTTTGTATCTTCCCTTACCCATACCAGAAGCACCATGGACTGATATTACTATGGATTTTGTGTTGGGGTTGCTAAGAACAGCTAGGGGTAATAACTCTATTTTTGTTGTGGTTGATCGTTTCTCTAAAATGACCCCCTTTATTGGTTGCCAAAAGACTTCTGATGCTTCTCATGTAGCTAACTTTTTTTCAAAGAAGTTGTTCAGTTGCATGGATTGCCAAGATCTATCACATCAAATCGTGGCACAAGATTCCTTAGCCATTTTTGAAGAACTTTATGGAAGCGCATGGGTACTACCCTACAATATAGCAGTACATTTCACCCACAAACAAATCGACAAACTGAAGTGGTTAACCAAAGCTTAGGCAACTTGTTGAGGAGCCTAGTTGGAGACTACTTAAAGCAATGGGATCTTATCCTACCACAAGCTGAATTTGCCTTCAATGATTCAGTTAATAGATCTATAGGGAAGACTCATTTTGAAGTTGTGTACAGTCGATCACCTAAAAGTGTTGTTGATCTAACTCCTATAACAGGGTTGCGGCGAGTGAGTGATGATGTTGAAGTTTTAGCTAAATCCATTCGAGAGATTCAAGAGAATGTACGACAAAAGATGGAAGAAAGCAACTAAAGGTATAAAGAAGCTAAGGATAAGCATCGTCAGATGAAAGAGTTTCATGAGGGCAATCTAGTCATGGTTTATTTGTGGCCTGAGAGGTTTCCCATTAGGACCTACTACCATAAGTTGAAGCAGAAAAAAATTGGTCTGTGTCAAGTGCTGAGACACTTTGGTGACAATGCATATGAAATTGAGATACCAGCTGATTTGTCCATTTCACCCATTTTTAATGTAGCAGACCTCTTTGATTGATTACCATGGGGATTAAGAACCAGCAACAAAGGATGGACGAGGACTAGCACAAAGGGCCAGTAGTTCTAATGAGTTTGAACAAGTAAAGGGTGTAGAAGATGTTCGAGTTACCAACACTCGAAATGGGGCCTATTTTAGGTTCTTGGTCAAGTGGAAAGGGAAACCATCAGTTGAGAACTCTTGGATTAGTGAAGAGAAGTTTATGAAGCAAGATGGAAACATGTGCAAGGCTGCTAAAGTTGTTGCTCGCATGGGGTCGAACTCTTTTTAACCCGGCGGGAATGATGTGATGAGGCAAAAAAAAGTGAAAAAAAATTGTGTGAATAAATTCTGTTTTGCATTTTTTTTGTAGTGGGATCCCAATTTGTTGTCTTTGGGTAGCTTTGTTGACAGTTTGGGACCAGGGGTATTTTTGTCATTTTATAAGTCAGGTTTCTGGTCAGGGCAGTTGGGTGCATTTTTGTTGGGTTTCGGTTTCTTGGGTCTTTTAGTAACAAAAGTTATCTTTTAGGTGTTCATTTGGCGTTAGTTTTGTTCCTAAGGAGTTGATGGTGAGAGGGAAACATTCTAGGGGCTTATGTGTAAATATTTTAACTAGCTTGTCCAGCAAGCCAGTGAGTCTTATAAAAGAGAAGGGGGTTGTTTCTGGAGGGGTCTTTTTTGGTTCTTTCTCTCTTGTTTGAGCTGTAGCTCAGCCCCAGCTAGGGTTTTCAAGCATTGGGAGCTTGGGTTTTGATGAGTCGACCCATTTTGGCACCTTCCAATCCCTCCATCGCTGCGCGTCCACACGGGAGGCCAGCTTGCTGCCATTGTTACTGTAGCATAACTGTTCCAAGAGGAGTTTTACTTCAGGTTCAGGTCTGAAATCCCTAAAGATCCAACTTATTTTGATGTTTTCAGCTTGATATTTCTTGTGCGTATTGTTGTATACTTGAGGTACTGCATGTAATTTGTCTTTCTGTCCACATCAATTAATATATATTTTCGTAGATTAATATTTATGTTGGAGTGTTTAGTTAGTGTGGTCTCATGTTACTTTAGTTAAAAACATATGTAACTAACATAGTTATGGACAGCAGGGTAGTTTGGACATTTCTCTTGAATTATTAAGCAATAAATACGCTTCAGTCCTTATTTTTCCTTAACAGATTTATTGATGTAATTGGAAACTTACTAGTAATCTATTTATATCCAGCTGCCTGATAGATGAGAGATAAGTTAGAAATCTCCACCAAACAGATCTATTATTCTTCTTTTATTCCCTCGCACTTCTTCTTTCTTCTCTCCCTACTCTTCTTTCACTTCTGTTCTGTTCTGTTCTGTTCTGTTCTGTTAGATTTCTTATTTTTTAAATAGTCAACCTTTCCATGACATAAGTAATAATCTCCCATGTTACAAATGGACATCTAACTTCAAATCATGTGTAAGCGACAAATTACAAGTAATCATAACATGCTGGAAAAATGGATATGCATACCTCATGATCACCACCTTGCCCCCCCTCTGGAGGAATTTTTCCAGGGTGGTCAGGAGGATGAACAAGGACCGCTAGCATATTTTGACCATTGGGATGCAGAATATCAGTAACATCAAGGGAGTGTCTTCTAAACATCCCCTTAGGCAGGACATTTTTGTGACCATTCAAATACACTTCTGCAGAGTAATTAATTGCACGGAAATTGAGATCCACATGTTCACTCCCTGACTACAAAAAATAAAGATGAAACCTGTCAGTATATACACACATTAAAAAGAAAGAAGTTCCTCCACAAAGAACCATTCAAACTACATAACCACTTGTAACCCTGTCATGAGAATTCAGAAATCCAAAACCTAGCTTTTTACCTAATTTCCTACTAAACACTCTGTAAGGTAATAGAACAATAACAAATAGCTTTTATTTGCGTCTTCAACATCTAAAACTGAAACTATAGATAATGATATTAGAAAAACAAAAGGAGAAAAGAAAAAACAAACAAAATTGATTGCCCCAGTAATCCAGTATCCATATCAGCAAGATTCTGGAATGCAAACTTGGCATACCAATTTCAACTTCTTAGGGGGATAAACAGTTGACCTCTAAACAGTAAGACCCATTACCCAATGTTTCTCTTGCATATCCAAGGTCTTGGAGGTGGATTGGATATGGACCTAACCTTCAGCACTTTTGCACAAAGTGCAGCACTCAGGATCAAATCCATGGTTCTCATGTTTGTTAGCCTAAGGTTTTACCATTGCACCAAGCAACAGCCCCAGATAGTCAGCCTCTAAATGAGTTAAATCTCTAACTAATATCTTTAACATATCCAGACAGCTGCCAGCATAAACATGTAATTAATGAGGAACCTCTGCAGCAACCTTGATTTGATAACCCCCAGTAAGCACTTGCCTATATTGTGAAGATGAAGGGGGAATAATATGTTCGAGATAAAAAGACAAGGTCATTACCCATTGCTGGTCCCAGCTAGCTGGGGTCTTGGGAGGGGTAGACTGGATATGGTCCTAATCTTTTTTTTTTTTTTTTTTGTGTGTGTGTGTGTGCGTGTGTGTGTGTGTGTTTGTGTATGTGTGTGTGTGTGACCGCTCTCAGATTCAAACCCACATTTTCATGCTTGCCAGCCCGAGATTTTACCATTACAACAAGTAATGGCCCATCAGGTCAAGAGACAATACAAAGAAAAAGAGAAAGAGAGAGAAAAAAGTTTTCATGGCATATTGAACTTCCAAAAGACAATTCATGTCAAAGGATTGTTTACCAGTTTACACTGAAATGTTGTAAAAAACCAGAATGTGTAATACTCCCTCCCAGAATCAGCAATATCTATGATAGCTTCATTCTCCAACCCATAAAATGGATCCGGCACAAGGTTGTTCTTTAACAGGGTTCCTAGAACACTGTGAATCAAATCACCATCAGTCTGGATACAGAAAGCAATAAACTCCAACAAAGTAGTATCAAGCAAACTATTATATTCCTTACGTGCAATTTGTTTATTGCAGAAGTCATGCACATGCAACAGAAGAGAGATCAGAAGCATTAATCATGGGAGAAGTACTTCTAGAAAGCTGCCATACTATCTCATAACACTATTATCTTGCCGACATGATGCTTATTGTGAAACCCAACATGTCACTCTATCGGTCTATCTTTGGTATCATTATCTTAGTTAACCAAAGAGTGCAATCAGATGAGATCATGTTTACTTGCTAAAAACGTGTATTCAGGCTTATAGAACCATAATCCAATAGATCACATGCTCCAAGCCTTTGATTAGATATTTATACCAGCAAAAGTTTTATGTTTATATTGAAGCAATCATGTTATAGAATATCTCCAACTAGGTCAATAGTCGGGTTGCTATTTATTGTTCATTTTGAATCAAATCATACCAATACTTGAGCCCTCTCAGAAAGCAATCTTTCAAATGTATGACTGATGAGGGGGGATGATTATTGCACAAAATTTAAGGTTGCTGAGATGACAAGCACCAACTGAAAATAGGGGCCCGAAACAATAGATACAACTGTCAACTTTTAAGTTCCAAAGATTGCTTGAGGAAATTGATTACTTTAGTTGCAAAGAAAGCACACTAACAAACAACTTCTGCTTATAATCACATGATGTATGATCAGTTGGGCTCCTCTGATATGATTGCAAGAATAACCTCTTTATAATCTGCATTCTTTCACATTGTACTAGAATTGATCTTCTCCATTTTAAATTGAAGCTTCTGAGGTAATTCACTTGTTTGTCCTTCATAAATACATCAAATTTTCTTAAATAAGTATACACCCATATTTAATTTCATAATTGCATTGAAGATCACTAGATGAGTAAATGGTAACATATTCGCATTGATAAAACACATACACAAAACAACATGCCTTGAATTGAGAAGCAAGTTAAGTTCACCAGTAGCAGCGGAGGAACTCAATTTCACTACAAATACCTAATTAAGACCAAATCAACTAAACAAACCGATTGAGAAATAAGAGAGGTGCAATGCAATTACGTTCCAGGAACAGCAGCCTGCATCCAAGGCGACGAAGGCCCTGTCGGTGGGTGAGTTGTGGTGAGCTGAACTCCTGTGAGATTAACTTCTGTGGATCTTGCAGCAAGCCATCCTGAATCGAGCCTCGTCTTGCCGATTACAGCCATCTATTACGGATTTATCTTTAAACCCTAAACCAGAGACGACTAAGAGTAGGCTTTGTTTTATTTTCTCAAGCTCGGACTGTGAAACGTGAAGGTCTCCGGTGAAGAGGAAATAGACAGCAGGGTGTCCTTTCGTGGTGTCAGGATAATTGTGATTACGCGTATGATAATCAGCTTACGTGTCTATTTGCCTGCAAATTCAGGTGGACTCCGCATCCGCATCTACTACGACCATGGTCGCATCAATTTCTTGCACCCGCCAAAAATTGCGGGTAGGAGATTGTTATCACACTACCACTTACCAATTCACGTCTGCGGCAACGACGGTGATTTTTAATCTATGGTGAGTGAACTGGCACCGTAAAAAAAATTAAGAAAACAAAGCAAAACGTGAACCACTGACGTGAAAATCGAAATAGTGAAAATGTACAAGAGCAGACAATCTAACTAAAGTGATTGATTAAAAACGATTTAATGCGTAGCAACTAGCAAATATTTATTTGCATGTTTTAGTTAACAGATTTTAAACCTACTCTATTTTCATCTCCTAAAAAGCCTCGACTCTAAAGTCTCTCTCATATTCTAGTTAAATAGCTCTCTCTCCATCCATACCATGTCCACACCAGTTCCATTCTCCCTCTTATGATTTCTCATTTTTACTCTCTCTCTCTTCTCCCTTACCCATTCCTTAGTAAGCCCGGATCTGTTCCTCGCACAAAACCTCACAATGCATCTCAGCCGCACATTGAGAACATCTCCCATACTTCCTATTGTTATTTATGGGTAAATGTTCCCAATAGGCCAATATACAGTCGGATGTGGTTGTGAGGTCGGTGTGAGATGCACTCTATGATGAGAAAATCCCGATTCTTCCTAACTCTCTCTAATTTCTTCCTATCTCTAACTCAGGCTTTCTATTGAGACACATCATCAGGACTCTAACCCATTTCCATTAGCCATGTCATCAAGGCCATCATTTTCACAATTGTAATAAAAGAAGGCAACTTCCCAAAACCAACCAACATAGAGCTATAGGAAACCTATCATGGTTTCTTTCTCCTTTCCTCTCCTAAACCCAAGCTCATATCTTTCTATTAAGGCTAAACAATTTAAACATACCTTGATTTTTGAGTAATTGACTTAAACGTACCATTGCTTACCAAAAAAAAAGACTTAAACATACCACGACTTTTTAAAATATACCTTATGGACTCACCCACTAGATTTAAACATACCCTTCATGGATTTTTAACTCATAAAATTTGCAAAATCCTATTCTTCCCTCCTCTGTAATTAATAGATGAGACTTTATTTTTCTAAAATCTGAAACATTTTTGATTAATAAGTGTTCAATTTATAATATATGTAGGTTGAAGGGATGAGAGATCAATCATATGGATAGCCGAACCCTACAGGAAGATAGGGCGAAATTTCAAAAATTTCTCTCTCCCATATGGGAATCGCATTCCCTGTTTTAGAAAAGCTGCATTTTCAATGATCAATCTTGAACCCTAAACCGGACCAGATCTGAAACCAAATGCAGGAGAGGGATGTACCTGATACGGAGTAGCAGTAACTCCCAACGAAAGTGTTCACGCCCAAGGAAAACGCCAAAGACTGCTCCCACTGAACATGACACAGCGTAGGGTGGAGCAGAATCAACAGGTGGTTCTTCAGCAAGAACCGAACTCTTCAACAAGAATTCGATGGAGGGTGAGTGAACACGACTTCAGATCAGTTTTTCACCAAAAAATGATATCAAGAACGCTTCTTGATTGCTCCTACAGGTGGAGAATGAACTAGCTATGGTGGCAGCAATAGGGGGAGGCAAGAGCAGAAGATGGCGTCAGTCTGACTGGAGTTGTCTTCTCTCTTGACTCTATAAACTTGAATGATGAACTAGGGTTCGCCCTCCTCCTCTATTTATAGCCTTAAAGAGAGCTCCTCCTAGTCTTATTAGGAGTTTCCTAATCTAAATCTTATTTGGATATGGACTCTCTTTAAGAGATAAGGATAAACCCTTATCTTATCTATAGATAAAGATCAGTCCCCCTAATCTAATTAAGAGTTTCTTGATCCAAATCTCTATTTGGATCTGGACTCTCTGAGTGGATAGGGATAATCCCTTATCCTATCTATTGATCTAAATCCCAGAACCGCCCTTCTTTAATGAATCACATTAAACCAGATCGAATTGGGTTTTAGGCCCATTAAGTCCATGTGCTCACTTATCCTCCAAACTGCTGCTCAGTTGGGTATCCTTGTATGGTGTGGGACCCAAACATTGATTTATACATCAGCCACATGGGTTCAGCTCAGCCTCTGTTACAATGCCTGGTCGAATTCACTACAGGAGACAATGAACCCCTAAGTCCATCACCATGGGCTCTTAATGGGCCCAACATTTACACTAAATGATCCGTGGGTCAAGCCACCTTATAAAAACCCAAGAACTGTGGGCAGATGCAAGATTAGCTCATCAGGTATTACCCTTAATGGTCTTACACTTAACCTCTCAGCCCATAATGATCAAACACTGCCCGACAAAAGAGGACCTCTCCCTCTACTGCAAGGAATAGTGTTGCACTCTATACTCACATGGATCATGGGAATTAAAACCTTTTGCAAACATATATATATATATATATATATATTGCAAAAACAAATTTCAACGATTGAAATCAATTGCTGGCAGTTTTGGTTTCCATCAGAGAGAGTGCATCCCCGATCATTCACTTTGTCCGACAAATGGGCTGATCCTATTACTATGATCACCTACTCAGATGAATTCTCAGACTGTCCCAACATACCCAGGTTTTGACCCCCTCTAAGGATCTCACTGATTGGCATACCAAAGACAGGCTAATCTAACACCTAGTGCAGTATCATAATCGAGTCTAGGGGTCAGGTGTAACATTCCAGTTTTGCCCATCTATCTCCAAGGTCCAGGGCAATACTGGAATTCTGGTCCGGTTCAGGGTTTCAAGAAAACCCACATTACATGTGCCTCAGGTCTCACCCTGGTAGCTGAGACAAGCCACCCCAACCAACTTGGCGGCACATCAGTATCAGCCTTGGCAAGATAAATCTCTCCATATCTATCCAACGACTGTGAAGATTCTAAACTAACACGAGTCTCATATGTGTCTAGTTTAAGGGTATTACACAAAAACACACCATAATAACATGAATCAAATATGTACTTTATTTATTTACATTAAATGTCATAATGTACATCATTCTGATTGGAGCTAAGGGCATACACTGTCTAACAGTAGGTGACCAATGTGGGTACGGCTAGGACAAATAAATACATATACCGATTTATATAATGGTAAATACCTATCAATGTGAATTTCAATCTACTCAGCACGAGCTTGACTGAACATGGACCCAAAAGATGATCATGAGCAAGAATTTCAGCAGTCTTTACCCATATCTGGACATCGTACCACCTCGTTTGAATCTTTTCTTTAGGATTGCAAATTTTAATTATTTCATTTTTATTTTTTTAAATAAAATAAAAAATAAAACACAAAATGGTTAGCATTATAAAAAATTATGGGGATTGGGGATGGGGATTTTGGCACCCCGTTTCCATTCCTACTCTAAAATATCAAATATTTTAGGGCTTCAAACAGATCGGATCGAATCGGATTCGACAAGGGTATATCCGATCCAACCCATTAAGAAAATCTGACTAATCCAAATTCGATAAGGATCCATCGGATTTTCAAAAGTATGATCCAAATTTGAATATATTATTGGATATCCGATTTGATTAAAATTGTATTTATAAAATAATATATTATATTATTTATATAATATAATAATATATTAAAATATATAATATATAATTATATAAATAAAACATATAGAATATACATATATAATATGTAAATAATATATAATATATAATATATAATATTCCATAATTAACGGATTGAATCGGGTCATTGCAGATCGGATCGGCCAATATCTGAATTCAATCCGTTAATTTAACGGATTGGCTTTTCTGATCCAATCCAATTTATTAGAAACAGGAGGAATATCCGAATCTGCCTGATCGGGCTTATTTGCAGCCCTACAAGATTTATAGGGTAAGCGAGAACCTCTCTAAAACGACCATGACAAAGAGGGTGGAGTCGGGACTATCTCAGTAACTATTAGTTGCAGCCCGTGAAAATTAGCATAAATTAGAAGCAATTAAGGATAAAAACTGTTAGATTGACGAGTCCCTTGAAAACCCTCACGTTTTATTAGAATTCTTTATACTAGTGGAGGGACCCCTACGTTGCAGGGGCTATGAGAAGATAAATAGTTTTCAAATAAATAATTTTACTCAAGAGTTTGCAAGATTGAAAATCATTAAAAAATAAAAATAATTTGTCAAAGAAAAATAAGTTCTATTTTTTAAAGAAAGAAAAATAAATTATTTTCATTAAATTAATTTTTTTTAATAAAAGCCACACAACCTCTCTATTTCCCTTTCAATTTTATAATATATGGTCAAGGGCTAATGGGAATGATCAAGTTTGCTTGGAATTTTGATATTAATGGTTATGCAGCCTACAAAATTGGAATCAAACTGGATAGATTAAAGAGAGATTTGAGAAACTGGAATTGGAGTTAATTTGGGGATATCCATAGTCAAATGAATTTGGTTGAAGAACACATTTTACAAGTTGAGGAGGAGGTAAAGGTTATGGATGTTAGAGGGCAGTTGGATCTCCTGGAAAATAAGAGGAATGCTTTACTTAGCTATTTAGAACCTTATTGGCGTCAAAATTCCAGGCAGCTTTGGTTGGAAGAAGGTGTTAGGAATACCATTATTTCCACCATGATGCAACTATTAGACAGCATAGGAATAGAAGAGATTGGAAGATGGAAGTTGGACTAATGATCCAGATAAGATTTCAAATGAATTTATTGATTTTTTAGAGGATCTTTTACTCAAACAAATATTCATCAAATGGAGAATCTTTCTGATCTTGTATTTCTTGTTATTTCTGAAGAGGAGAATAATGATTTGATTAGGATTCCATATGAGTAGGATATAAAAGAAGCCCTTTGCAGAATTGGTAATCTTAAGGCTCCGGGACCTGATGGTATTTTGGCAGTTGTTTATAAATCTTTTTGGGATGATATGAAAGATGATATTGTTAATTATATTAGAGATTTCTTTGTAAATAAACAAAAATTGTCAAAAGATTTTATCATACTTTTATTACTTGGGTTCCTAAAAAGGAGTTCAATTAAGGATTTTAAGCCAATTAGCTTGTGTAATGTGGTTTATAAAATTTTCGCTAAAGGACTTAGGAGTTTGATTGATAAATATATCTATCCTTTTCAAAATACTTTTGTTCCACGAAGAAATTTAATGGATAATGTAATTATTGCTCATGAATTGATCCATCATATGAAAAAAAAAACAAAAAAGGGTCCTGGTTATG